GGGGGCACTGACAACCCCTAGAGGCCATGCTTTCCTTTCCATTCCATTCCATTCCATTCCATTCCATTCCATTCCATTCCATTCCATTCCATTCTTGCCTTGAATGCAGAAAGAAAGCAACAACCACGAAACTCTATCATTTCCTATCTTACTCATCTTACTTCCCTGCATTAGTTAACCATTTACTCTGAAAGTGAAGACATAGAAGGAAAGGGCAACCCATAGTTCCTTTTCCTTTCAGTTCTTCCTTACTCATCAATAAGTAAGTCAAAGATAGAATCTTGGTAGAATGGGCACATATCAAGAAGTAAAAATAACAGTTAGTTAGTTTTGTGCTGTGTTTCCACTGTTCTGATAAGAACAAAACACATATGCATATACAAACTGCAAACTACGTGAACTAGCCACAAAAATACAAATTGTGTAATTCTGTTGATTTCACAAAGGAGTTAAATGCTCTTATTTTTTCATTTAAAACTAGCACTGCATAATATAAAGATGAACAGTAAAATGAATGCTAATAATTTAAAATGCTTATTTTTCTTTATTTAGAGTGATATTAAATAGTGAATAAAAAATACCATGACAATTTCAAAAAGAGAACATGGAAAAAAGGGAGATAGCTTTATGTTTTGTACCTGCAAGGGCACTTTTTTCCTGCTTTTTGAATTAAGGGCCCCCCATTTTCATTTTGTACTAGGCCTTGCAAATACTATAGCCAGCTGTTTCTTTCCCTCTCTATGACTTCTCCCACAAGATCTATCTGGCCATCTTCTGCAGGAAATCTTAACCCCCCCACCCACCACAATTTCTGGGCTATCATGGCCTCCTCACCAGCAATCACCTAGCAAGTTGTATTTATATATTTCTCATTGCACCTTCACTCTTAAAGTAGAGTTAATTTTGAACATGTCATCTCCCCAATAGTCTGTCTTTCCTAAAGGGCAGGGACAGGCTTGGCATTCTTATCTGTCTAGCCAATGGGACCAGAATCACTTCTGGGGCTTTCATAGCCAAACTAAATTCCAGGAACTAACAATAAACAGGCAGAATGAGAATCTCCAGGGCTGGGTCATTTGGCTGCACAACCAGCCTAAGGAGTTGCTGAATGAAAGAAAGAATCTGAGTGGTTCCAGGGCCTGGAATAGCACTTTTTCTGGTTTGAATACTCCCTAGTAAACTCTGGTCCATCCTTGATGGACTGGTTCAAGCGCCATGGTTGCATTCAGTGATATCTCCCCTGATTTCTTCCATTCTCTCATAATGCCCCGCCATCTCTAATTCCCTGACCTAAAGTTCCTTACCATATATTGATTACCGTTGACACTGAGCAAATTCTACTTGAGTTTTACTTTACTGATTAGACTCTGCTAGTATTGAAGGCACAGCAGAATGAGGACCTGCGTGAGGCAAGTGAGGCACTTGCCTTGAGTGCATAATTTAAGGGGCATCAAAAACTCAGGAATCAAGAGAAACTATATTTTAATGCAATATAATTAAATATTATTTAATGCAATATATTGTTCAATTTTCTTGAATATATCAAGAGTTTAAATAAAGACAGTTTCAGACCCTGTATTTGTATCACTGGCCTCACTGGCTTCAGTGTAATCCCAGTCCTGTTGGACTTTAGGTTTTATTTATCTTCTTACCCCAGCAGTGGATGGATGAATGAATATAAAAATGAATTGTTTCCTTGAACCAAGGCAGCAACTTGGAATTTGTAGATCCTGGTAATGAGGATGTCTTACAGGTGGCTCTGATGTGCCCTCTCAAACCAGCTAGACTGGAACACGGGGCCATATGCTCTAAAGTCTGAATATAATTTTTGCCTTCAGTCAGGTCCCCATAACATTATTCCTCCATTGTCTGCCTTTGTGAAAACTAAGAAAAAGCAATGCCGCGTTCTGTTGTCAATCCTTGTTTGCCATCATGGAATCAGCCCTCAGAGGGCCAATTCATGGAATCCTTAGTAGTTCATGTTGTTTCAATAATGTTGCATTAAAATTGCCTTCCCCCATTGTTATATAACATTGTTACAACCACAGTCTCATGAATTGTTTGAATAATACCATGCTATTTATTTCATGTTGTAATTTACTCCTTCTTTCAGAAGTTTCCAGGCAAAATGAGATCAGAAAAACAAAGCCATTTAGACAAAGGGAAGCAACAGTGTTTGTTATACTTCATTCTCTGTATGATGTTTCCTTCTTAAGAAGGAATTTAGCTCCAAGTTATACTCAGGAAGAGAAAAAAAAATTCTAAGTTCCACCAGGGTTTAGGGCCTATTAACCACCTTTGTGAAGGAAGGTTGGCATCACTCTCCTCCCACTCTTCCCCCTTATTATGAAGTTGTCTACATGGCTCTGTGGCCCCTGGGAAGATCAGGCTGTCCGCTGTTGCGGCCTGTCAGAGCCAAGCTTTTTCCTCAGTGGCCAGAGTTTTCACCCACAGTTAGCCACCAGGGGGCCACCTATTTGGAACAAACGGTGCAGACTCCACAGCTTTCCTCCAAACCAACCAAAACATCCCGGGGCCGCTTTGGAGCAAAGCCCAGGAACTTCCCTGCAAGGGAGGACAACTCTCCAGCTACAAAACCTGCAAGTCCTATATGGTATAGCCTCATTACGAGTGAAAAATAAAACAAAGCACGGATTTGTCGCCAAGAACCGAGGGGATTTAAGGTCCATGGAGTCTGACCGGGAGGCCCCTCCCTCTCGCCAGGGAGCCTTGAGGTCTGCGACTTTCCTCGACTGAAGCACCTGAAACACTGCGCATTCAGGCGTAGGCAACAGAATTCCTGACGGTTGTGGTTGTGAATGCTGTTAGCTAGGGTGGCGGCTTCTCGCTCCTTTCCGTGGGATGCTCACAAGAAACTGGAATAAATCACACGTCACCGGCTGGAAATCTGTAAAACTCTCCAATAAATCATCTATACATTGCTCAGACAGCTCGCCATAGCTCTATCACATTTCTGTACGCATAAATGTGTATATTGACTAATGAAGTAGGAATTGTTTTAATATTATCCATAAGAAAATAATTGTACTATGTCGTCAAAATAGTTTTGTTGCAACTACAGCTTCGTACTGACTGCAGTTTAGCTTTTTGGGGACTCAGTATTTTTACAAGCATTCTTCTAGACCAGAATGCAGCTGCCCGCTTCATTTTCTCCCAACCGAAACTCTTGGCTTTCAAGATTTGAGGTGGGGGGTGGGGGAGGGCATTTTAGAAATTCATATTTGCCTGGGACAGAACTCTTCAAGAGTATAAACGATTTTTGTCTTCCGGGTTTTATTTGTGCATATCCAGGGCAAAGACAAATTAATAGGGCAGCCCTTTCTGGAACCTGTGGAGTGTCTCAACTCTGCACACATCTCCCAGGATGTGCATAATTTTGCGGAGGGGTGTCTCGCTCAAAGGCAAGCCAGGTATTTTCCAAACTATCATGGGGGGTGGAGGGGACGGGGGCCGGGTGACGGTAAGGGAACTCCAGACCGCCCGGCCCATGGGAGGCCCCAGGAGGAGCCAGAGCGCTCTGTCCGCCCGACACGCGCCACAAGTGGTTTGGAGAAAGAGGGAGGAGCGCGGTGGCAGGGGCCGCGCTGGTCTTGCCGGGCGAAGAAAAGCCCGTGCTTCTGGAAGGTCCCCCGCCTCCTTGTCACTCGTCCCCCATTTCTTCCTTTTCTCCTACCAGAGGAATGACGCCCAAACCCGAACCTCGGTGCGCACGCCGCCGGGTGGGTGGACGCGCGGCCACCCAACCCACAGCAACACTGCCATCCTGTAAAGGGCACCCTGGGTGGAGGGCACGGTCGGCACTGGGAGGAGAGGGAGCGCCCGAACCTGGGGAGGCAGGTGCGGAGACTGGCCGGCCCGGGGCGGTGTGTGCGTGGGCCGCGGGGTAGGGGTCCGCGAGCACCGAGGGGCGGACACTTCTGGGCGCCGGCCCGGGGCCGAGCGGGGGGTGTCGGGTGCCAGCCCG